TAAGGATATCTCCTTACGCCTGGCGCTAAAACTCTAATATCTTCCTTACAGATCTATACACTAAGCTTGCGAAGAAGGCAGGTGGTTGATTCTGCAACCGTGCCCCCAAGAACCTCACTCCTGGTATTGTAAAGTAGATATTGGCATAAGAGGCTTAGTTTCTTTATACTGCCTGATAAGTGAATTAACGGTTTCTAAATGAGCATAAAATGCTTGCCCGAAGTTTTGAGATTCTTTTTGCAAAGATTTTTCGTCTACAACTTTTAATAGTTTAATTTGAATTGCTTGACATTCATTAATGAAATTATATTTATTCAATCTTAATTTAATAACATTAACTCCATTCTCTGATGTCCTATCTCTCAAGAATTTGCTAAATGTAGAAAAGGTTAATGTAATAAATTCTGTTACGCACCAGACGCTGCCTTCATGGTTCTGCTACCACTGATACATTAGCTCGTTATGGATTTATCATTCATCAAAGTTCACAACTGATCTGCAGATTCCTGAAAATACAATTAGTGGATATTTATTAATGCAAAGTACACTCTCACTTATACTTTCAACTCTCTATTCCTAGGCGGAAGCACCAATGTTTTGTTCTGTGACGGTACCTAAGGACCTCACTCCTAGGTAGACTTAAGAGGCCCTATTCCCATTGCCGATTAAAACACTACTCATTCGCAGGTTTCTGTAGTGAAGCGGTATTAAATTCGTTCAATGAAAGAGAGCCCTTGCTGCTATAAACACTAGCATTTATTCTCGCTATAAACATTCCAATGAAACAACAAAATATGCAATTACCTTCAAATTAACATAGTAATTACCAACAATATGAACCCAACGATGTGCATTACACCAAAGCTATTTAGAAGTGCACCTTCCTTATAACTTGTAAAATTAAGAACAGGTAACATATTTGATCTTCTAATCACTACTAATATACAGATTATACAACGATGTCCAACTGAGATGAATTCCACAAGTACAAAATCTCTTACTGTTGCTGAAAACATTCACGATACAAATCTAAGCCAAGTTTGTGATGTTGCCGGTGAAAGGGGCCCATTTGCTGCTTTAAGAATACTACACTGCTGTTCATCAGAAAGGGTTATCTCACCGTAATGATGAAGTAAGCATATGCGTGAAATGAAGTGTTGGCGTCCATACAAACGGGATGGCCTCGGAGTGGCTGCACAAAATGGCGGCCATGGTCTCTGGCTCACTTCTACACAACTTAGTTGCACTTCAGTTGAACCAAACTACTACTGTAACTTTTGGAGGTAGCTGAGAGTGCGATATGCTGAGTTGCTTTCAAGTAGATGCGGAGAACACCACGTCTCATGGCACGCTTAGAAAAACAACACTAGTAACCGCCATGTATGGGGTTAGGTCGAACTTCGTCAAAAAAGCACACTGTTTTGAGATCTGAACACCATGGCGACCCAAAAAGTTGTGCTGCTGAAACTACCCAGAATGCACAGAGACGCGGGACCCGTTCGCAACGATTTCCACAATACGATTCCCGTTCACCTGGTGGTTCGGGAATCGCGACGTAATGTTCTTGCTCGATTCCCGCTCAATTCGAAACCGTTCGAACAACAGGTACTAGCTGTCGAATCTCGTCCGTACTGGGACTTCATAGGCGAGAAGTAAGGATAAGCAGAATACATGAATCGTCTAAATACAGTTTTGGGTAAGTAAATACCTCTTTCTTCTTCTCCTCCTCTTCCTTCTCCTCTTTCTGCTCTTCTTTCATCTTGCTCTTTTTATTTTTATTCACCTCCTTCTCCTTTCTTTTTTTTCTTCTGTTGCAGTGGTTTCTTTTGCATCTTCTACTATTACTTCTTTATCTAATACACTTCCTTTTTTTCGTATCTCTCATTTCTTTATTTTACTATCCCTTTCCTTCTCCGCCTCTAGCTTCTCTTTCTCTCCCTTTCTCTAGCTTATTATTTTTCTTCTCTTCGTATTCATAAACTATTCATAGCATCATTAGTAAACGCAGTAAATTATTTTTTAAGAAACATTATTTTTTGAGAAACCTGAGTGAAATGAACATTTATCTTTCGTAAAATGTATAAAGTTCTTTGTAACGTAACAGAATAAGTGGATACTAACTGACGTAAAACGTTGCGAAAGCGCTTTAGGAAATCTGAAAAAAAAAATCATCTGTTGAATCAATATAATCTCAAGTGGTTCTGACATTCCCGCCACGAAGTGAGTTAACACACTATATTCTAAGAGAACGTCAGATATAAGAATTGATAAGCCGGAATTTCATCACAAATATCTTCATATAGATTTACTAAAGATTAAAACCCTCCACAGAAGACGGATTTTAATGAGCAAAGGAAGGATAATTTATTATACGAGAACAAGCATTTCTTGATTTGTTTCACAAGTTTTGTAATTGTTATCAAAGCATGGGGCTCCGAAAGAAGCTACAATCAATCTATCAAAGACTGGTAATCAATGAACGATTTGATGTTATATCCGAAGAAGAGATGAAGAGCAAATACTGAGATGACCCGATGTTTAGCTTCTGGACATAAACATAACTTCAAATTAACTTCTCCCTTTAGCACGACAGGGAGAGTTCTTAACTGTTTTTGACGTAAGTAAATAAAACGAACAAACAACGAAAAAGAAAGAACGAAAGAATGAAAGAAATATACCACATAATGAATACAAGTTATACGGAAGTATACGCCATATTCTATTTTTATTATCCCAAACTGTTTAGAATTCAGAAGCAAATGCGCTATTTCCTTTTTTTTAAAATTATATTTTCTTATGCGGAGAAACATGAAAAGAAAGAATGTTTTGTCCATTCTGTTTACGCAGTTTTATCTCCACAATTCTGCATTAAAATGCTATCGTGTAATTAAATCTAAAAAAATTGCCTTTTTGGTATATCAAATGGTGTGTTGCAAAGAGTTTTAATCCGGAAACCCAATGTTTATTGTGTACTCTCCCGATGGACAATCAAAAACCATAATGTACCATCAAAAATTCACGTAAAAGCGGGGATACGCATACAAATTTGCTTAATGTGGCGAATCACGCACTTTGGACACTATTAAAAGCATTTTTCCCAAGTTTAAAAATTAGTGCTTTGAAATTTTATAATACAAATAAATTTTAAATATTCCGGAACTAACTGACTCGTCAGTCTTCGGTAATAAGTTTGTAAATCACGGGTGCTTTGGTGACGAACGAGAAGAATGGGAGTCCTTATCTAAGAGAAGGGAACGGGCGCGTTTATGCGTA